GATGGCCCTGGACAGTTATTTTCCTGGAGTAAAGTCTCTCGCTTTCTGGTGAGGAGGGGGCTCAGGCTTTTGCCCTCCTCTCGAGGTCTGACCACTCCTGGCAGGGCCAGGGTCCTTTCTTCTTACAATTTCAGCAAGAGTCTTGATTAATAGGAGACCAGGATTTTGGAAATTTCCATAGATGAAAATGTTGAGGTCCTTCTAGCTGTTTTAATTGCAAGGCCATAAGCATGTATTGTGTATTTTCCAATTTGCTGGAAATAGCATCTTCATAATGCTGGGCTAACGTCTGGAGCTCAGACATGTTTGCATTTTGCTGGTTAATACTGTTTCTCCATAATGAGTCACGGAGCTCTGGTTTGAGACCATTTACAAAACCTGTGGCCAGATCAGAGGCTGCTAGGGAAGTCAGGTCCAGCCCTGCTGTTTCCATGTTGTCTCTAATTGATGCCAATGGTCAGCCACATTTCATCTCTTTGCTGCTTATAATTTTAATACACAGCCAATCAGTTTTGGTGAGAGAGACGGGAGGGGTGGCTCCTAGTAATTTTTCTACTCCTTCCCTTATCTTCTGCTGAGAATCAGGGTCATTGAGACTCTTGAGTGTCTTCAGGAACAATGTTCCGTTTGGCCTTTTCAAACCAAAGTGGGGCATCCCCAGGGCCAACTGGTAGGTGGATTAGTTGGCATAAATTGGGGAATCTGGAGAATATGCCCCCAGAACAGCCTCCAATTGTTCAGTAAATCTTTCCCTTTTCTTTTGGGAGATTCTTTTGGAAATTCCTTTATGATAGCATGTAATTCCACAAAGACCAAAGTTTAAATGTTATCTCTTCTGTTGGCCTCTCTTGAGAACAGGTAGCAGCCACCCTGGGCTTCAGCTACAAGAGATGGGGACTGGAGAACCTTACAGTTATGGGGAGTTGAGAGGCTGGGGTGTCACTGGTGAAGGACATACTGGGGGAGGACAGGTATCAAGAAAAGCTGGGAGCTGAAGTTGGGGGAGGGAGCTGTGGAGGGGTGTAGGGGGTTTACTGGGTCAGAAAAATATTCTGAAGATGCTGTTTAAGAACTTCAATAGTTTGAATGAGATTTGAATTGTTAAGTTGCTTTCTGGCTTCTTCATACCAAGTGAAAAAAGCAGACCATTGTGCGTCAGAGATTTTTGTTCCATTTTGCCCTCGGGTTCCCCTCAGGTGGACTCATTTGGATCCCAAGAGCCCCAGAGAGGCTGTGGTGGCTCAAGAGTTTTTGGTAAAGTTTTGCCAATGAGAAAGAAAGCTCAGGCTGTAAAAGCATGTGGTCAGCCGGAGTATGAGATTTCCAGCCGATCAAGAAGCCCCCATGTTCTTGACTCATGGTACCTTTACACTTATGAACAGAGAAACATGGGTTTCCAACCCAGCCTCTGTTCCTACAGGGACTAGCCTCTTACAACCAGAAAGCCTAGGACTTTAACCAGCCTCTGTTTACCCAGGACTCTAACCCAGCTTCTTACAAACAGCTGCTTGCTTAGGGCTCCAACCCAGCTGGTTACAGAGAAATCCAGGACTCTACCCTGGCCTTGGCTTGCCTGGGACTCTAACCCAGCTTCTAGAGTGTACTTGGAATCCTAAAAATCAAGACCTGTCCTCACTGTGCTTCATTCGACATTTATCCAGAGCACTGGATTTTAGCATTGGACTCAATCACCAGATACCCAAACCAGCAAGCAGACTGGAGGCAAAAGGTTAGGTAGGTGTGCCCTGTGAGGCCTGGTGTCGCATTTGAGGCTTTGGTGGTAGTTCCAATCCAGATTTGATTCACAGCACCAAAAACTGTTAAAAAGAACTAGAGTTGGATAGAGGTTAAGGGAGTAAAGATAGATTTTATTAAAACAACAACAACAACAAAACTATTGCAACAGGGGGAAAGAGACTCCAGTATAGAACTGGGCTCAATTCCAAATACAACCAGAACAAGTGGGGATTTATAGCCAAGAAGCACGGGGTAGGTAGGGGCCAACATTGGTGAATGGAAAAGTACTAAGTGGAGACATCAAGTCTGAGAGATTCCGGCTGAAGGCAGGTCAGGGTGATCAGATATCTGGAGGGGAGTGGGGATGATTTTGATTAGATATTAAGGGCAGGGAATTCTCAGTAAGCTGATTTGGTAGGGTCTTGCTGGAACTGGATTCTAGAAGGAAGTACACAGATGGACCTTGTTGGGAAGAGGGTTCGGGAGAGCCTGTCTAAAGTTTGGTCAAGCAAAGAATCTTTGTCAGCACCAACAGCGGACATTACCTCATGTTCGGCAGAGCATCCTAAGGGAAAGGAAGTTGGGGTTTGGAGGAAAGGTGACAATTTCATCCATTTCTATTGACCAGCTTTTCTGTGGGGTCCCTCATTTGGGAAATGAATTTCTGAATTTTTTTTACTTTGAAATTTCCTTTTGGGAAATGTACAGTTGTTGTCAGGAATGGTCAACAGGGTTGTCTCAGTTTAACTGAATGCACTGCAATCTTCTGCAATATTTATTCACAATCATCGAATTAGAAAAAAAGGTTAGAGGTACCGAGTAAAGACAGGAGCCCAGAAACCGTGAGCAATGCTCTTAGGTGCCCGCGGTCAGACAAGGTCGGTCATTGTTTTCTCTCTATTGGAGGTTCCTGTCTTGGGGTAAATCCTACCTCAGGGAGATGGCATTCCTGGTGACCAGACCTTGAAGCTCCCAGTGACTGGCTCTCGCCCCCACAGGTACTCTTCGGGGCTCCGAGGTGGGTTTGTACCTCATCCATCACAGGGGTCTGTGCTTCTGTCAGGTCTGAGGGGAGCCGTGGGACTGAGCTGTGTGAACTCCAGCTCTTCAGTCAACCAGCTTTAAGTATTATCCACATCTTGCCTCTATCTTTCCTTCTAGCTCCTAACCTCCCCCAACTCTTTTTCTCTTGGAATCTTTTGAATTAAAGCCCAGGCGTGTCATTTCACAGCACAGTTTCATTCTGAGACCCTGCTGTGGTGTGAGAGGTTATACAAACAGCCTGGATCAGAAGCCAGGGCCGGGGGTGCTGCCTGGCTCTAACCAAGTTACCTCCCCTCTTTGGGTTTGTCTCATTTGTAAAAGGAAAGTTCTGGCTCAGGTAGAGGCCGAGGTCCCTAGTCTGGTAAAGGAAAGGTGCTGTGAGTTAGAACCTGGCCCAGGGCTGCCACCCCCACCCATGGCTGCCCGCTGCGGGCCCCTCGGGCGCCTGGTACCAAGACAGGGAATAAACAAACAAGCCAAAGTAATTTCCCTCTTCCTTGGAAACAAAGCTGGGGTGGTCTGGAGAGGCGTGTGGAGAAGACTGGAGAGTGCCAGGTGGAAAAGAGCCAAACAGACAGAGAGATGATGATTTCCCTGCCCTGCAGGGAACATCTGAGGACACCGAGGCCAGATGTGTTGATTTTGCACCCTCCCCAGTGTGATAAAATCCCCCTGGAGAGCGAGTCTTTATTCCCCGCCAGCCTGCCGAGGGGTGGACCCCAGCCTGCTCGGGTCTTGCCTTCTGTCTCCGGAGCACATCTCCTCTTATGGAAGAGCCCCAGCTGCTTTTGCACGGTCAGCGTGGCGCTCGTGAATGCGCCCTCTCCAGCGGCGCACTCAGCGTCTGGGCGCCCGCCAAGCCCTGCCGACCCGCCGCCAGCCGCCAGGCCCAGCCTGCCCACCCCTCCCCTGCGGTGAATCTCCTGCTTCCTTCCTCTATCACCACCTTTCATTCTCCGTTGAAGAGCCAGTTATTGATCTTGGCCCATTTCTCAAAGTTGCTGCATGCTGATTCCATCCAGGCCACATCCTCCCCCAGGGGACCTGCTGGTCAGCCAGTCCTCCTGGGTTTGTTAATGGTGGTGCTACATGACCCCCCCCCCCAGGGGACGGGGGGGGGTGCCCTCCCAGGAAAAAGGAGTGGATGACCCCTACAGGTGCTCCTCAGGGATTACCCAGCCCAGGATGGAGGCTGGGTATCCCTGAGGAGGAAGATCAGGTGGTCTGTGTCTGCAGAACCTGCTTAGTTGGAGGCTGGCGTCCATCCTGAAGCTGAAACCTGCAGGAAATTGTATGGCTTTGCTTGTACCTCCCAGTCTGGGAAGTGCAAAGTCAGGGGTGGGGATTCTTCTCTGCACCCTGTCCATCCCCTAAATAGTGAGAGTCCAGAGGGCTGGATGAGTCTGATTCACTCAACTGCCTAGGGCAGGGTCTGGCCAGGAGCAGGTGTCAGTAAGTGCTGGCTGCACAATGGATTTGCCAGGAAGGATGCCTGGCTTCTTCTCCCCCTCCAGCATGACCTCAAAAGCCAGAGGAACTGACTGGCCAGTGGTCATTGAACCAGCAGCTCAATACAGAGGGGTAGGGGAAAGAGGCAGAGAATGTGGTTTTCTGGGTCTTTCAGTGTGGACATTGGAAGCTTGGCTCGGGAAGCACAGAGGAGCAAGAGGGAGTGTGGGAGCCAGAGTGACAGGGCCCCTTTTCCCTTGCCTTTCCCTGGGGGTGAGTTGCATGGGTGGGGAAGGTAGATGGGGGAGAGCAGGTCTGACCAGGAGCAGGCAGCAAAGGGCAGCCTTGATTTCTTGATTTCTCATGTGACTCCAGGCAAGTCATTGAACCTGCTCTTCTGGAAAAATGGAATAGTCATTCCTACTCAGTTTGCTTTTCAGGGGGTTCTTGGGAGGAACTGATGAGAGGGTCCTAGAAAGGGCTCCGAAAGTGTTACAGGAGAATCAAGTCTAAATGTCTGTGCTCATACTGACGCCCTGCTGCGTGCCAAGCCACGGTCCAGGTGTGTGTGTGACCCTCTGGTGAGTGGGCTTGGCAGGCCGGGTGACCACCCTCTGTACGGAGGCATCACTAAGGCCTCTCATAGCCACCTCAGAAGTTGCAACAGAGACTCCAAAGAGTTCCCCCAAACTGTGAAGCACGCTGGAGAAGGTGGGGGCAGAGGAAAGTCATTTGTTCACCTAATTGAATAGAAGCAGTCCAAAACAAAATCCAAAATAAAAACTGCAATTTGTATTTGTTGAACATAATATAAAACTAAAACATAAAAAAAATTTCTTCCTTCATTGCTGTAAGTCCAGATGGCAACTGGAGAGGACTGGGCCTTTGCTCTGGTGAGGGCTTGAAGAAGAACAAAAATCCCATGCAACCCTGGCCCTTCCTCTGTCCCCCTGGAACGCCCGCAGGTCACAGCAGGCCGCTGAGGCAGCAGAAAGAGAACTCAGCCTCGGGAAGGCGCCTCTCTGCCTCTTTGGGAAGCTGATGAGAAGCCAGAGGTCACAGAGCATCGGAGGCCTGGCTTAAAGCCACCAGCCAGGCCAAGATGAAACATCTGCTCAAGTCTCCCCAGGCACCTGGCTGGGGGCGGCTGGGAGGAAGGAATGGGGAAGACTGATGCTCAACCACAAATTAGCACCCTGGGCCTTGGCCCTGAAATGGCCTCTGCTGGTAGAGGAGGGGGTGAGACTAAAAAGAAATAAATGACACACTTCAAGGGGGGAGGGTGACAAGCCCGAGGATGCATCCTGTGTTGGACTTGAGCAGGAATGAGCCAGGACAGGATGGCTTAAAAAACTCTTCGTCTGTGGCCAATGGTATCAAAATGCAAACGGCCAAAGGGACTGTGGTGGGGGGCCATTTGTTGGAGGGACTCCAGTAGGGGTTCTGGCTGAGTATGGGTGGGCTCACCGGGTGACCCTAGTTTTTTTGTGTAACCAGCACAGACCTGGAACTGGGAAATCCAGGCTGCCCTCTACTGGTGATTTCTGGGAATGACCACAATGCAGCAGCACCTGACTTCTAACTCCAAAGACTCAGGGGAGAGAACCAGCTCCCAGGAGGACCAGGAGTGGCTGCATCTCTGGCCAGGCCTCCCAGTGGGGTGGCTGGCAGCCTCCCCATCGATCTGAGTAGGTTCCTCCATCTCTGCCTGGCTGCAGATGGGCCCAGGACAGTGAGGGCCTCCGGTGCTCACTTCAAAAGCATCGAGAAGAATTTGTTCCCCGACTTGCAGCGGATCTGCTCGGCACACGCGCGCAGGAACATCTCAGAGTCTTCAAACTCATCCACAATTTCCTTAAACCAGGAGCCAGGGGAAGACAGTCACATTAAGGGGAGTCAGGGACCCAGAGGGCCCTGCAAACAAAGCCAACCTACCGACACCCTTCAGAGGTTAGGCACTGCTCAGGGGAGGCCAGGGGCCACGCAGGCTCCAGGCTCTGCACTTGGGTATATTGCCTAATTAACTCTGCAGTCTTGTGGGATAGGGCCTATCATCCCAGCTTTGCAGATAAGGAAATGGATGCTCAGAGCCCTGGGTCACAGAATCCAATAAAACCAGGCTTGGGGCCTGGCTCTGCTGGAGCCCGAGACCAGAGCTCTTTGCTGCCTCCAGCACGATCAGGCCAAGAGCAGAGGTGGCTACTTGATGATGGCCCACGGATTTGTCCCACCTGCACATGTTGTGTTTGGCTTGTGAAATGTTTTCTTAAAAAATACATGTTAGTTACCAACATTTGAAAACATGAAAATCTAGATTTCTGGCTTCTCTTGAAAAACAGAAGTGCTTGCAATAATAGGTCCACATTCCTGCGCGGCAACTCCCCACTGTCTCCTCCTCCAGGGGTGAGGACCAGCTCCTCTGAGGGCACTGATGGGAAAGTGAAATATATCCCCAACTTATCACAGGAGGAGAAAGCCTGTGAGGGAGGAAGTCCCTTATGCCTGGCACGTTTCATTTCTAACACCTGCCAGGCCCCTGGGGGCACCCAAGCCATTGACCTCTGGGCAAGGGGCTAGGACTTCAGGGGAGGCCTGCACCATCCTCTCAGATCAGTGTTCTCGGGGAGGGCTTCTCAAATTTTAACGTGCACTCAAATCCCTAGAGAGCTTGTTAAAGCCTGATTTCTTAGGTCTGGGCTGGGGCTAAGGAGCACGTACTGCTAATAAGCTCCAGGTGATGTCGCTGCGGCTGCTCTGGGGTTGCACTCCAAGGAGTAAGGTAAGGAGTTGGGGGTCACTGGCCACGTCAGTCATTTCCCAGGGATGTAGGTTTGCAGGCCTAAACCTCAGGGCCCTTCGGCTCCCCTCCCACCCCCCAACTTCTGTGGCCTCACTTCTGGGCTCCCAACACTGGGAATTCACCTGTAGTTCCTGCAGGCACTGCCCTTCCAGCTGGAGACGTGCATCACCCACACACCAGGCCAGACTGATGTGGAATGAGGGGTCCTGCAGAAGAACAGCAGGGAGGCAGGTGGTCACCTGGATGCCATGGCAGGTCCAGATCTCACAGCAGGCCTGTGACAGAGTTGTCAGGGTATCCATGCTGGACCCCTGGCCTGATCCACGGGAGACCCGATCCTCAGTGTTGATCCCAGGCATCCGCCACAGATAGATCCAGTAACTCAGGGTTGGTCCTTGGCTATGGACTGAACTGTGCCCCCCTAAGTTCACAGGCTGATGCCTTAATGTGATGGTATTTGGAAGTGGGGCCTTTGGGAGAGAATTGGGTTTAGATGAGGTCATGAGGGTGGGGCTCTCGTGATGGGAGTAGCGCCCACACTAGAGTCAGGGGAGCTTTCTTCTCTCTTTCCATCATGTGAGGACACAGTGAGAAGATGGCCGGCTACAAGCCACGAAGAGAGGCCTCACCAGAAACTGACCACGATGGCACCTTGGCCTTGGACATCTAGGCTCCAGAACTGTGAGAAAATAAATTTCTATTGTTTCAGTCATCCAGCCTCTGGTATTTGGTTATGGCTGCCTGAGCTAAGACAGTCCTGTTCTCAGAGGCTCTCCTTCACATAGCTTAGAGAGTCATTAAATCTGGGCTGGAGGAGAACCCAGCCTTCAACTCTATTTTCTAATCTAAAACATTTCAATAGATGACATACTTTTAAA